CATTCAACACCCAACAAAAATGGAAGTACCTACTTGGGTACTTTCCGGACTAGGCCTGGAAATGCTACTTTCTCAAAGAAAAAGCGTCCGGGAAGTAGGTACATCCCGGACGGTTGCCGAAAATAAATATTTCACAGCTCTTCAAAAGTAGGGCAAATTGAAATGAAAGCACTGTAGTACAGAGGGTGGCTTTAAATTTTGACCCCTACATACCGCTTCAACTATACGAGGTAAAAAAAAATTCAAATATGAGAGTTGTAGGGTTTCATCTGTACTATCTTTTGGCTCTCCTCAAACGAACAGATGCGCATCGCGAAATTGATGAAATGAGTCCAAATATATTTTTTTAAATAAAATACCCTGTATGTTTTCAACTCTAGTGAAAGATATTTTTTTCCTGTTTACAAATATATATAGTTTGCTGGTGTTTCCTTTAGCCGTTTTCACTTACTTATTCAGCTTATTTACAACAAAAATCAAAATTGTCAATAACATTTAGATGACCGTGGAAACAACAGAATGTCATTGATATCAGAACACAAAACAAACAAGTGGCAAAAGATAGTACAGTTGAAAGTTGAAACCATACAACTTTCATACTATTTGAAGTTTTTTTTCCACCTCATATAGTTGAAGCTGTATAGGTAGTGGTCGAAATATAAGGAGACACCCTGTACATATCTACCCAGCGAATATATATATATTCGAATCTCGAAAACCTATTCGACACGTGTAACGACTATTTTTCATATTTGATTATAAAATAATTCCACTTTTATTCTTTATCCCTAAAAAAAATTGGCAGGTATGCCCACAATATTACACTTTTTTCAAAATCAATAAACCGTTGATGGAGGTAGCCTACCTAGGTATTGCTCAATCAAGGAATGAACACATGATTTTAATAAAATATTTTCAATCCGAAATAGGCACCTACCTATATAAAATATTTTCGTACGCCTTTGAGAACTTAATTCGAATGGGACATGAAGGCCAAGTGGAATTAAAAATGAAACGGCGTGCTTGTTTTCCATTCTGTTTCGATACGTCGTGTGTCGTTGGTTGTCGTAGGTATCGAAGTAGAATAAGAATGAATATTCGCATTGCAATTAAGAATTTGTATACCTATGCCATGGATATTCAAGTCAAAATAGAATGATATTTCATTCTTTTGTCACTTGGCAGTCACAGACATCAAAGTAACATGAAAACTCAAGTCGCATTCGAATGTTATTTGATTCTTTTGCCAGTTGAATTTCCATTACACTTTGAGATCGCGGACATCAATGTGGAATAAAAATCAAGTCGCATTCGAATGTTATTTGATTATTTTGCCAGTTGAATTTCTATTACACTTTGAGATCGCGGACATCAAAGTAGAATAAAAATGAAGTCGCATTCAAATGTTATTTGATTCTTTTGCCAGTTGAATTTCTATTACACTTTGCGATCGCGGACATCAAAGTAGAATAAAAATGAAGTCGCATTCAAATGTTATTTGATTCTTTTGCCAGTTGAATTTCTATTACACTTTGCGATCGCGGACATCAAAGTAGAATAAAAATCAAGTCGCATTCGAATGCATTTCAATTCTTATGTCACTTGCATTTTCATTTACATTACACTCTGCTGTAGCTGACATCGAAGTAACATGAAAATTCTTATGACATTCGAATGTTATTCAATTCTTTTGTCACTTGCGTTTCCATTACACTTTGGCCTCACTGACATCGAAGAGACATTTTAACTAAGTCGAATCCAAATGGGACTTTGATTTCAATTGCATATGAACGGTTGCGACAGCTTATATGCAATGGATATTGAAGTAGCAAAAAAATGAAAGAAGAAATAAAATTAAAGTTGAATGAGGAGTAATGTTACATAGAAATCAAAGTAGAATGAGAATGCGAGTACAAAAGTATCTATTATATATGTTATGGCACATCAATTTCCATTGCATGTTGGTACCACGAGTCTTCCGTATAGCAAAAAAATTGACTTGGAATGGAAATGTAACTGACATTCAAATCAAAGTGATATAAAAAAACAGTAGCGCCATCTAGCACCGCTTCTGAGAAAAAAAAATTTCCTTTTCAAGTTCAAGTTCAAGTTCAAGTTTTATTTCGTCATTTTTGATACAAATTGTATATGTGACACGTCGAAAACAAAAACAAAAAACAAATATACAAACAAAGTACTCATGAATAGTACAGCAAATACATCATATTAAGAGAGGTTCTCATACTCTTTGAGGGAGTAAAAGCAACTTGTTAGAAGATATTCTTTGAGGAGCTTTTTAAATTTCACATGGTTTTTTTCTTCTTTGATGGTTTGGGGAAGTAAATTGAAATATTTTGTTCCTGAGTAATTTGGGGATTTTTTATACCCACAATAGTTACATTTCGTCAAATGGAAATCATTTCTGTTCCTTGTAAAATGATGATGGATTTCTTTATTCTGCATGAATGATACGGAATTTGAATGAACATAACTTAGCGTTTTATAAAGGTAAATGCATGGTAGTGTAAGAATACGGTTATTTTTAAATGTTTCTTTGCAAGATTCTCTATATTTGACATCAAAAATCAGACGCAAAAATCGTTTTTGCATAATGAAGATCCGATTTACATCTGATGCTAGTCCCCAAATGGAAATATTTATACTTATTTTGGAATATACCAATGCATAGTAAATGTCCAGTAGATTATGATTCGTGAAATTCGACTTCAATGTTAGGAAAGCGTAATAAGTTTTTTTCAGTGTTGTGCATAGGTATTCAATATGTTTGTTGAAAGATAATTTACAATCCAGTTGTGTTCCAAGGAATTTTGTACAGTCTGATAATTCTAATCGCGGATCAATAGGAAGAGAGGGCGCCAGTAGTTTTCCATGTTACTTGAATTGTTTTGTCACTTGTATTTTCATGGCATGTGAAGAGTTTGCTTCTTACAGATGCAATATAATTCGATGTTCCATAAAAATGCATGTGTAATAGAAATTCATTTTTCAATATGCAATCGTTTCAAGTTGTATTCCTTCGAATGCCATGTGGAACGTTGTTAAATATCAATGTGTCATGAAAATCAACTTGCATAGTTGCAAGTGAAATTCAATAAAGATTAATAAGTACATGTGGCATCAGATATTGTATTCGAATTGCTATTAGCAATGCGAATACCAATTCCGATCATGAAATATATTCTAATAAAATTATGTCAACTAGAATGAAAAATAAGTAACATTGAAATGGAACATTCAGCCCATGTCGAATAAAAAATAAAACGGCGTTCCATAACCACTCAACCAATGACTGCTTAATATCAAGTAAGCTGCCGACCATCAACGCTTAGTATCGAACTGTGGTATCGAATAACGACGTGAATGACCCTGTATAATAGAATATATTTAGGTTGTCAATGTCATATGAGATATGAGATCTTAATATGAGATTTCATTGATGACGTACCATGCCGTCACTTACTTTTTCTGCCTGGGGAGCGGCCAGAATGGATAGAATAGTTATTTGTTTAACTAGGCAGCAAAGTAGTAGATTGACTGCCGAGGCTGAATTCATAGCCGAGCGTAGCGAGGCTAGGAATCCAGCTTAGGCAGTCAATTTACTTTGCTGCCGAGTTGAACATATAATTTTTTCTCCGATTGTTCATAATGATATATATCTCTTTATTTTTCTTGTAGTGTTCAATTAAATTGAAATTTGATAGAAATCGCAGTTGTTGGAATGGTTGGCTGCTATGGAAATGTCCATAATAATTATAGTTTGACAATTCATGAAATTTCTGACAGTTTTGCGAAAAATATCGGTATATTCAAATTATTATATAATGGACAGTGATAGCGACCAGGAAGTACTTAAACCTCCAGAAATAAGGGAGGTGGCAAAAAATATAGAGTTGAATTTGTTGCCGGAGAAGTCTCGGATGAAATATGAAGGAAATTATAAACGATTTATGGATTATTAATTTTGCTGATACATATCAATCAGCAAAGTAACCATTTTGCTGCCTAGGCAGCAAAGTACCCACTTTGCTGCCTAGGCAGGAAAAGTAATACTTTGCTGATTGATATGTGTCAGCAAAATTAATATTTGCTGCCAATCGGAGAAAAATGAATTTTTCCAGCAACCTCAATCCAACAGTTGTAGTACTACAACAATTTCTGAGAAATTGAAACAATTTTTTTTCAATTTGCTACGAAAGCGTAGAATATTTTTTTTATAATTGACAGATACAAATTCAAATCACAATGACATATTGGCCATGTTGACAAATTTTGACGTCAAATCATAAGTCATCTCAACACATAAGGCCTTTTCTTTTGCACGAAAAGTGTAGCACATTCGTACACATTTGAGCATTCTGTTGAAAAATGCATTTCACACCAGCACACACCAGTGTAGTTTTTCTCCACGGCCTTGGGCAAGTGTGAATTACACGCAGATTCAAGAATTAACAAAATCACGATAAATGACTCGAAATACCTGTGTGATTATATTTATAATAGATATACATCTATACTGGGAAATCAAATACCACCTTCTGAAATCCAAATTTCACTTCTCTTCCTTGATTAAATTTCCATCATTCCTTTCAAATCCGTTGTACGAAATATCGGCTGATTCATAGTGTAGTGCATTTTACACCGCGATGAAATGCAGACGAAAGAACCTTTTCACAGACACACATCTGTGACTAGTCTGACTTTTGACTGAGCTGAGCACAGACACAGAACAGAGTGGAAGTTTTATGTTTTATTATTATTGGAATGGATGATGATGGGAGGGGTTTGGTTTTTAATTCTAATGAGTAATAATGAAGATTCAAGTACTACTTGAATACTTGAAAGCAAATTACCAATAATAGCAAAAGTTGAAGTATATAATCAATCATTTCGTAGAATAGCATGTCCGAAAATTGCAATAAGACTGAATCAGTATTAGTGTATCCATATATCAAATATTCTTCATTCACCTGGATGCCACAATGAGTTTTTCATCCTTGTTCAAAAGCAGTAAAAGAAAACATCATCCTGTCGAAGAAAACAATATAGCTGTAATAGGAGCACCAACTAATGTGAATCATGATATTCATGTAACTGTGAATGATCAGGGCCACTTAACTGGGCTTCCATCTGCTTGGGTAAGACAGATAGGAACACAAATAACTGAGGATGAACAGTCCAAGAACCCACTTGTTGTGAAGCAAGTCCTACAATACTACAATTATTCCATAAAGAAGGGTAACCAGGATGGCCAAGAATATAAACACATTGTTACAGAGAAAGATATTGTGGAAGAATCCAAAGAAATAGACAATTTTTCACATTCCAAAGATGCACACAAGAGTAAAGATTCTATCTTATCAGAACACTCAGAGAAAGGTGATATAATTAGGTATGTAATTTATGTTATGGTGTAATTGCATTTTATTCAAAGTTTCCATTAAGTAAGTTTGGAATATGAGGAAGTGTATGAGATCAATGGAGTTCAAGAATGAAATTGTTAGGTGTGCACAGATCTTATATGTACAGTGTGACCCACTTCAAATGGAAACACCCCTGTATCTCATTGGGCAAGGATCCTGAAATTTGCTGGACCAAGAGATATACCAAAAATGAACTCTATGATCAAGTTCAGTCATCTTCAGTGATATTCACTGCTTACCAACAGCCATGGAACCATCCCAATTTCTGGAAAATGATAGGAACCCAATTTACTAACTATTCATATTTTTCCTGGAAAATTTGCAGTTCTGAAAAACACTGGAATTGGATAATTTGGAGATTGGATTGGTTTTTGGAAAACTTCAATGTTAGCTTTTTCAGTCTCTCAGAAATTGGTTGCACCCTGGTCAGCTGATATAGAAGTTTGTTTGATGGATGGTGAAAGGGATTTTGAGGGTGTAGGATTTTGGTAATAGCTCTCAGGCTTTTTTTTTAATGTTAATTAGCAGTAAATGGTCTGTTTCCACTGTTTTCCAAAAATATATTGGTAGAATCTTCCCAACCCAAAACTAATTTCAAGGAGATCCTTTCCAATTTGACCATATCAAATCAGTGTCTCTGTCATGGCTTTCAATGCATATGCACAAGGGAGTCTTAATTTGCAGAAGTACTGCACCTAGTCCTGATTTTGAAGAGTCAACTATCCCCTTTGTCACATTGAAAAATTGAAGTACTGGCTTTGTACCTAGTTTTTGATTCAATTTTTTGAATGCTGTTTGTTCCATATAAATTCATTATCTTTTTTCAATTCCCTAAATGGAGCTGTTTTGCTTGAGAAATGAGTGACACTCCATCTTTGGAAAATATGTGTCCCATGTATTTAATTTTATTTGGACCAAACTTGCACTTTGAAAGATAAAATTTTACCACATTATCTTTAGCTATCTGTAACACTCTTTTGAGTCTAGTGTCATGTTCAGCTCTTAATGTACCACATACAAGAATGTCATCAATATACACATTGTACCCAAACCTGAGAATAAGCTTTTGAACCTTTCTTGGAATACGTCTGGTGCTGATTCAATGCCATATGGTAATCATAGGAATTTATAGCAACCAAAGGGTGTTCCAAAGGTACAAAGGTCTGTACTCTCTTTGTCTAGTAGGGTTTGGTAGAACCCATTGGTAGCATCTAGTTTGGCTGAGCATTATTGCACCTGTTACTCATAATTTCCTCAATAGTGGGGATCTGAAGATATTCCCATTTTATAACCTGACTGAAGTCCTTGGGATCAATGCTGATCCTTAGTTTGCCATTAGGCTCCCTAACCAGAACAAGTGCATTCATCCAGTTTGAAGGACCATTTACCTTCTCTATAACTTTTTTTTTTCTTAATTCATCTAGACTTTCTCTCAAAAAAACTTTGCAAGGGTAACGCCACTTTTCTGATGGGTTGTACGACGGGTTGAGCTCCTGGCTCCAGCACTCTGATATGGTTAATTTTTTTTTTGCAATTGCATTACCTGCATAAGTCGAAACTTGTGCGGGGTTAGGTAAGCATACAAACTCAAACATCCATGGCCTAACTAGGATTTGAACCTATGTCTCAGTGGAAGTCCCCATACGAACTCAGCGCCTTCACGCTCTCGACCACTGAGCCGCCTTTTATATATTCACCCTATTCCTGAAAATACATCATTAAACTCTTTCTGTAGCTTCCAATATGCAGCTGATACATCATTATGATATTCAACCTTCATTACTAAATTTTGTTGACATGAAGAACTTGACAACAATATAAAAGGTAACTGGGTAACATTTGCTTTTCTTTTCACATGATGATGTACATTAACCAACCACATCGGAATTTCGTCCTGTATAGGATTTTAATTTTGTATAGTTGAAATTATTTCTGACGGAGCTATTCCTAATTTCTCAACTATTTTGAGTGGCAACACATTTTTGCCATTGATCCTGTGTCCATTTTGGAAACTTATCAATGCATTTTCAATTTTCAATCCTGTAAACCACTGCCCTACAAAAATCTGAGCTACCTCATCAATTGCTCCCACAAGTAGATATTAATCTTCATCAATTGAATTTGCTGTGTCCTCTGCCTCGATAATGTAAATTCTGTTTTGAAGTTTCTTTAAGCAGACAATTGAAAAATGATTTTTAATTTGAAGAAAATTACATGTTTTCCCGAATGCAGGCCATAATAATATATTGATTTGATGGCTTTTGCCAAATTTGGTACAGTTGTTAATTATTCTGATGACTGACCTGTATTGATAGTTAAACCTATTCTGTTGCTTCCTTTTTACCATGTCTACCAAATCTATTGCTTTCTCCATTGTCTGACATTCATTCATGAAATTTCCACAGTTTTTTTGCAATGTTTGTAATGTTTGTGTGTCATCCTGCAGGAGTTTTTCTCGACTTGCTGAGCTGGATATTCCTTAAATGATTATGTACTTGATCAAATCATTCTGAAGGTCCCCTGCCTCGATTTTTGGTCTCCGTGATAAACTGCTCTCTTGACTATACAGCTTCTTGATTGTACGAGAAAAACTCATACCTTTGATAATTTATGTGTTCCTTTGGTAGGAAATGCTCTTCTAATTTTGTAAGTAATTTATTCATCTTATTCATGTCCTCAGCTGGGATGGTGAAGGTTCAATAGATGTTAAACCCTTCCTCCCCTATGTAGTGTAACAGCTGAGTGCATTGGGTGACTTCCTCCTTTTTAATTATTTCGCTGGCTACAAGATACTTTTCGAAATGAGCATGCCATGTTTGCCAGTTTTCTGCTACGTTGCTCATCATACACATAAACCCAACGTCTCTAGCATTGTCGTTCTAGATGACAACCTAGTTAGGTAGTTAGTAGGCAAGAGCTATAATACCTTCTCGCCTACTAGGTTTTCATTTACATCGACAATGCCATCGCTGCTTCGGAATTAGTTCAGATTGTAATTTCAATTTAATTGATATGTTCACTTCTGACTTAATTTCTTGCGTAATTTAGTACCGACTGCGAGATGTAGGTGGCGTTATGTCCTCACAAAGAATTGAACAAAATTCATAAAACACCCTATATCTCGGATATAAAACTTGCAAGACCCTACAAATATACAGTATGATGCAAATGTATGGAATAAATTCATTTCAAAACAAGACGACTTTCGAAAAAAAAAAAACAAAAACTAGAGTTTAGAACTTTTTTTCGACGTATTTTTTTAACTAGACGACCCTTCGATGTTCAATTCTCAGTAGCAGACCTCTGCAAGATTCAATTAATCACATGATAATCCATTTTAATTTCAATCTTCTTATGCAACATTTTGACTGTTGAATAGACGATCGGTAGACCTTTCAATCAAGGTGTCACATGACCCCTATTTGTATTTGACCATTACGTCTTTACTCCAACACCGGTGACGTAACATCTTTCATATGAATATCATGAGATGAGGCTTCAGAAATTAAAACTCACGTGTTTTTGAATTTTTTCAAATGTCGCCCATTTCTGAAATAATGAATTTAATCCATACATTTGCATCATACTGTATATTCAGAACCACCTTTATGAGCTCTACCCACCGTTGATATGTTTCCGTTTCCCAATGGCACACCCTGTATAAAAGAACAATTCAAAAAAATTTTAAAATTAGTAAGAGCAAGTTAACAATATGATGAAATAGAATGACATTAATTAAAATCTAAAATTTTTCAAAATAGAATTCCTCCAGTGAATAGAATACTCTAACAAACTCTAACTCTCATTGAACTTTCTTTTGTCCCTGATCTTCATTTCATCAGGTGTGTGATAGAACATTTTCTTGCCATCATATATAAATGGAGTTTTTTATTCCTGTAGACCTGGGGAGTGGTGAAGTTAAATCAATAGCTTGTCTTGATTTGGATAATGCATACTGTTCCCGAAATATAGATATATGGTAGTGGTTAGATTCTTTGTGCTATGAATAAAGGGTTACAGGAGTCCCTGAATTTGGCTTTGCACATGTATCCTAATGCCCTTTTCTCTAATAAGAAAATCCTGTTGAATAGAACTCTACTACAAGATCCCCAAAAGCAAATCCCGTATCTGAGATGAGAATCAATTACAGCAAAGTAAACCTGTTTGGCCATGTCCCTACCAAGCTCCCATGAGGTGTTTTTCACGGCAAAACATCCAGAGGCTATTTTTCTTCTCAGTATATTGATATGATCTTCAAACTTGAACTTATCATCAATGAATTAGCATAGATATTTAGTTACTACTAATTTCTTGATTACCCAGATTGAGTTGTGGCAAATTAAATTTAAAAGAGAGGATATTAGTTTTCTATATGTTCAGAGAGAGCATGACCAGACCAGGTAGTCTTACATTTCTCAAATCTACCATTATGTAGGGTATCAACAATTGAGTGCCTGATCTCTATTGTTTCAACATTTATTGTAACTTTCTAGATTAATCAGCTTCTTCTTCCTTCTTTACTGGCCTTCGTCTCTCGACACAACCATCATCTATTTTTTTTTTGTTCCATTTTCCTCAGGGAGGCAAGCTTGTGGCATGTCTGGCTTTTCACAATACTCTTCCTGTTTTTTCCTTCTCTTGAGATTACCTATTTACTTTTTGGGTAGTTTGTAGTTATCTATCAATTATTTATATTTTAATATTACTATTTTTCAAAAATTTACTCACCGCTTTGACTTTGAGAAATGTTGGTGTGCACACTATGCTATTTACGTTAATTGAGATTAATTATCAATATAATAAGTATCTCAATGTTCTGTGACACTACTACTTTTGACATTTTTTGGTACATGACAACTTAATTTCCCAGACTTGACGCTTGGCAGTTCCAATGTCCTTGATCTCGGTATGATAGTTGCATACACTCGAGCATACACTACACAATCATTATTCACATTTTGGCTCTCCTGATTATTTCTTATGCATCATTTAGTTTGCAAGATATTTGAGAAAATTCAATTTGATCCAATTCAAAATAATTGGCATTTGATGCCGTTTGTACTTCTTGCCTGTATTGACTTCTTTTTCCTAGAAAATTGATCATGTTAATATGGTTCAGTATGTTGTATCATTTTCTTCTCAAACCCTACAATATAGGGTGTTAACATAACACGAGAAATAGTACGCGAAATTCCTTGCCAAATATACTTTATTCCAGTTCAAGTCTCCACCCTGTATGATATTGAAAACAAATAGTCTTTTTCACTATGTATATCAAGATTCAATATTTTTCAGGGAAACATATCCAATTCGCCCACCGCGAAAAGTTGACGGTACTAATCTAGTCCAAACAAAAAATCTTGCACAAAATTTTGAAGACCTCACGCTAGTGAATGAACTGAAAGGAGATGTAGAAATCAGAAATAAATCAGATTCTGATTTGTCAGATGACGATTTCATGAGAAGACGTAGCGGTCTCACAGATGAAGAATACATGATTAAAATTAAAAACATTTGCAATCCAGGCGATCCCTATGACTATTACGAAAGAAGCAATAAAGATCTTGGGTCTGGAGCATCAGGTATGGTTTTTGCAGCTGTTTGTAAAAAAAGCGGCCAACTTGTTGCTATCAAGGATATTGATATGACAAAACAGCATAAGAAAGATTTGCTGTTGAGTGAAATCAAAATAATGAAAAACTTCAAACACAAGAACTTGGTCAATTTCCTAGATGCTTTCGTTATTTACGACGACCATTTATGGGTAGTAATGGAATTACTAGATGGTGGCCCCCTAACCGATGTAGTAACTGAAACGGTTATGAAAGAAGGCCAAATAGCAGCAGTATGTTGTGAAGTATTACATGCTATCGACTACTTACATGACAGGGGCACCATCCATAGAGACATAAAGTCTGACAATGTCCTGTTAGGCATGGATGGAACCGTCAAAGTAACCGACTTCGGATTTTGCGCCAACGTAGTGGGTATGTAACTCTACATCTTTATGAGAATAGTTGTAGATAAATATGAAGTTAATAGTTATTTAACCAACTAGTGTGTAAATAAGGGCGATTAATGGGCTATATTTTAACAAGCAAAGCGAGCATGTTAATGTTCAATCATCAATAGTCTTAGTTGGTTATAAGATTTAGTGTGGATTTATGCAGTGTCATTTAACATGTATCATGTAACAATTATCAATTAACATTTAAGAAGAAATTATACGCATGCGCACAAGTCAGTCCTTTCATCCTAACCCTCCTCTTTTTATGTAAAAAAATTAATACATTCTCAAATGTTATAAACATATAACATTTGTTTCCTGAAATGGAAGAGGCAGAAGCGCTTTTTGTCCTGATGATGCTGTTGACGGCATGACATTTTTAGGTTGATATCATTACCGGGCGTACCAATCCGAGATAATTTGCATACAAGGTTGCGCACAATAGGAAAATCTGGTTCATTTAATGTAAGAAGTTAAAAGTTTGCCAACATTCTACATGTTACATGATAAATGATAATTGTTAAATGTCTGCATAAACACAGTCATTGGAAAATATGAAATTCAACTTATAATTGTTACTTGTAAAATGATAACTGTTACATGATACATGTTAAATGACGCTGCATAAATCCACATTTATCCGTCCACTATATTTCTCCAGCAATGAAGAAAATTTGATTCGCAAATTCACTATTCATCCAGAAACTACTAAATTTGTGTGACCTTATAAATAGTGAGGACAATAGTAGTACACTTTTTGATTGGTCACACCTCTGTGATATGGAGGTGCATCCACCTGTCTTGTTTCCTCTATTCAGTTCACTTTGTCAATGCTATTTCTCTGTTTTTTGCTCTTTGGACACAAAACATCTAACAATCAGACATAAATAGTTATTCATTATACAAGGGAAAAAAGTTGTAGATTTTAGCTCCAGTTTGTGTTGTCTCCCGACGCGTAGCGGAGGGAGAAAAAAAACCGTGAGCTAAAATCTAATATTTTTCCCGTGTATAATACACTATTTTTTTCTGTGACAGAAGAAAAGACGAATCAATATTGAGAAGATATTACAGTGTTTTGAAATCTGAAAATTATCGACGTGAAATTTCAAGTTTTTAATCTTTATCATTCTTTTGAAGTAATCAAATATCTGATGTCACTTCTGTCAGTCTAATTCTGTGATTTGATTTAAAAAAATTGCTAATTTAGTGGTTATTTAGTAATATACCTAACCGCGAAGTCAATTGGAAGATAAAAGGACTTGCAGTTCTTTCTCGGAGACGGTATTATTGACTCATTTTTCGGAACTATAGCACAACAAAAGCACAGATTCCTGCCAACAGAGATGAAATGCCAAACTTTTTTCCCGTCACAGAAAAAACTCTTTATGTCAGTACCTTGGATATTAACTTAGAATCCTTTGGGACTCGTAAGTCTCAGATTATTCAGATGATGTAATAAAAATATAAAATATCTAAAATTAACATCAGGTGGACACTTCGAAGGCGCCAATTTATTACTGTATGGGATATACCCTTCAGATTTTTAGATATTCAGTGATTTGACGACCACGAATGACATTTCGGAAACGGCTACCATTGCGGAAACGGAGGCACAGAATTATGTACTCCGTTAAAATGCCAAAACATACGGATGCGCGAAAAGAAAATTATTTATTACAGATACGTGTCTTCTGATTTTGCGCATAGCGCCAGCATTAACGCCAAATCTAAAATATTTTATGTCATCAAATGTAGTATTAAGGAGATAATAACAAGTAAATGAATTCTCCATCAATAACGTCACGACAGTTATCAAGAAAATATAAAACTATATGATTCAGTCACTGTTTTGCTGTAAAATTTCACAAAACAAACAGTTCAATATATCCACTTGGCAACAGTGTGTAAAATGAAGGCCGTTGCCTCCCATCAACTCCACAACAATCAATTTATACCGGGTGTCCCAACAGTGCGTATTTGCTCCATATATCGATACTGCTGTAATATATAAAAAAAAGTTTCATATAAAAGTTTTATGGCACCACAAGGGCCACATTTTTAAAATAGTTCCTGATTCACAGGGTGTTGCATTTTTCCGTAATAACAAAAAATATGTATTTTTCAAATGGAACAACCTGTTTATTTTTATGTAATTAAAATGGTCCCTTCGTTGCCTACTCAGCACTAAATTTTTTTTTTCGCTACGTTGCACCGTTGCCAAGTAATTAATTTTTTCGAAAAAATAGGGAGTGATGCAGGCTCTGAATGAAATAACTGTGATTGAGCCGTTTCTTCGAAGATCTGAATTTTGGTGGATTGACGTAAAGAATGCCAAAGTAACGTTTAATACTCTGATCTTCATCGATATTCATACAGGGTGCTATGAAAAAATAACGAAAAAATCATATTTCTAGTGGATATTCGTATATAAAACGTGTAAGTATGAATGTGAGTATTCAGACTCGAATCGTTATATACAGGGTGTAACATAAGTACTACTAAATATCCAAATGACGTGTTCCTGAGAACATTTCAAGAATTGTTTTCTTTTAAGTTCAACTTGTATCTAGAAATGCTTCGATTCGGAGATCCAGGGTATTGAAATTGACTTTTTTTGTTTGCTTTTCAAAAATAACTTTCACAAAGAAAATGGGTTATTCGCACGAAATTTCGTACCCGGGGTGCGTACGCGTAACATTTTTGACTGTAAACTTTTGTTACTTTCCATAGATATACCTTATTCCCACATCTTTTCCAAGTAAAAAAGGTACACTTCCTCCTCAACGCTGGAGCGTTTTCGTGATATTCACAATTTTCTTTATCAGTGCATATTACTTAGCTCCTAGTTGAAGTTGCTTAGAACATTACAAAACTAAGTATGTGGTAGGTCGAACAGCAATATATCAAAACTCGTTTCTCTATAAAACGGGAAAGCTCTGGAATTCATTGCCTGAGGAAGTATGTCCAAGAACTTATAATCTCCAAAAGTTTTAAAAAATGCCAACACCTACATCCTGTCCCTATCCTCTCTAGGTACGCACGATGTTTTGCGAACATTTTAGGGATTCCCTTTCGTGCACACCAAGCGATAAAAACAGTGGTTTATCGAAAAATGATTTATTCTCTGTATTTCAAAACCCTGTATCTCCGACATGAAGCATTTTCGGACACAAGTTTATATAGACTTTTTTTCTTGAATTTCTGTTGACTATTTTAACGTACTTATGTTAGGGTATGTGAATGGCAACAAAATTCGGCTATCGTACGTCTTCACTAGGAATATTTAGAACTGAAATTCACTATGCACTCAACTATCTCCGCATCTCTCCGTGACTGCGATGTTGCCAAATGCCATCCTTCCTCAATACTCCTATTTGTATATGATAAACAACCTTTATAAAGTGTCCAATGATGAAAAACAGTGCAATTAGTTGTAAATGCGTATCCAAGACGGGCGAAAAAAAGAGGGTGAAATTTCCAATTTTTTCGTGAAATATCTCAATAAATAGTGGTTTGTTCTCATTTTCATTACAAATGTCGTGTTTCTTAGACAGAAATACATAGGTGTAAAAACATTTTGAAAAAAAAAACCATCCCAGGATAAGTGCAAAATTATCCAGTTTTGTTCTAACTGTAGAAGTTCGTTTGATACAATACAATCTGATCATAGCTTTTAAAATACGGGGTGACTGTTACAGGTAATGAACAAAGAGAAACCATGGTCGGGACCCCGTATTGGATGGCACCCGAGGTCGTCACCAGACAAAAGTACGGCAAGAAAGTGGATATTTGGTCCCTAGGCATCATGATTGTTGAGATGTTGGATGGGGAGCCACCTTATTTAAGGGAACCGCCTTTGCGTGCCTTATATTTGATCACTGCTAACGGCAGACCAAAAATTGCCAGATGGGACACTTTGACCGAAAAGTTACAGAGTTTCATCGATTTGTGCCTGCAAGTTGACGTCGACAAACGTGGAACGGCCAAGGAGCTGTTAGAGCACGAGTTTTTGAAGGACTGCATGGAACTCAGAACTTTAACTCCTCTGATCAGGGCCGCTAAGAAGATGTTGCATAAAACTTGAGGTCTTTTTCCAGAGAAGCACTTGTTTGTATATTTTTGATACTCATGTACTATCGATATTTTCTGACAATTCCACTGCAGTGATTTTTTGTTTGAGTTTGTATGCACTAGAGTGCCTAAAACAGCAGTAAAAATATGACAAAATACTTTACATGTGCAATATCTACATGAACAGAGACAAAGATATCCAAAATAGGCCTTATAACCATTGTGAATCTTTTTCAATATAGTTTAATGAGTTAAACTACATTAAGAATGTTGTTATAAGACTTCAAAAGATAGGCATATAGATTGTTCCTGAAACCGCCACTTTAGAAGTTATTTCAGCTAATAAGAGATTTGTGACGATTAATAATTGGGCAAACACGACGAATCATTGGCACAAGATTTGAAGAACATATCGCTCACTTCGGATATATTCACCCTATCACTTTGAACGATCTAAGACTACTTGAAAATGTAACAAACAAAATTGAACAATTTGGAAACTAGTTACATTAATCATAGAGATCATTTGATAAATCAAGATTTGGCACCAATTCTAGCTAGTTTCAAACTTCCGATAATAATTGAACCAAAACCACCCTCTGAACATTGAAATTCACTCTCACTGGTAATTTGGAAAATATCCTGAAATATACTATAGTCAGCTGATCTCAATTTCCTTTTAAGTTCAACTAAGGGATGTTGCCGAAATACGTAAGTATTTGGGCTTATTCAAATGTTAATGTGGTATTTTGGGTATGATTTAAATTTGCTTGAAACATTGAAAAAAAATTACAAAAATTTCCAGCACTATAAAAAGCGTTGTCAGGTGATCTAGGCACTCTAGTATTCACAAAGTAAACTTTATGGAATGTAAAACAGTTTATTCTCAACCAAAGTTGATTGTAATTCCAAATTGTTGGAAATATACAACAAATCTAACTTCATAAAGTCAAATCAACATAGGAGAAAGGTGCTTTTTATTTTGATAGGTCTTTTTCATTGATTTATCATTTTATATATTTGTCTCTGAACCTCATTTGAAGATGATTTTATACAAAGGTATGTTTTGGAATGTTTTAGCTATATTGTTAATCGCTGTATTTATACTTTTAAAAGGCAATAAAGTTTTTATCTACTTGAGGCTCATGCTGAAAAAGTGTCCAATTATTCAAGCTACCAATCGGTGATCAGAATATGGCGATAAAGAAATCAATTGATTGGTCTGTGTTATGCTTTATTTGTACATACAATGTTTATATTGAAAATTAAACAAATTGATTATAAAAATGTGTCTGCAAACTACACAAGTTAGGTAACATAACGATTCATTTTCCAAAATTTCAGTTTTCAAAAATAAATAGTACTTTATTTTCACTTATTTATTCAATATAATTTACAATATTTAACATCGTACAAGAAACTTTGTGGATCATGTAAAATTAGTTTAACCAAAATAACAAATACAGTAACACTATCTTATTATACAAATTACTCTTATGAAGAGTACCAATCAAATTTCAACAATTTTCACAGTCAACACAATTAAATGCTGCAGACCAAACAACTCCACAAGCATAGTAATCATTAAATGTTCAATACTACACAATACTAGTGCTGCAATTGTAACGTAACAATGAAAGAAGAAAAAAATCATTACGAATAATTGGTATAAACGATGGGAACCAAAGTCACTCCAAGTGTCAGTTTCACATAGTATCCAATGAACCTTCAATTGGAGCACTTTTCACTGGGACGATTTTGAATCTGAAATGGAAATAGAATGTTTTAAAAAAGCAACAACTACGGTTATCGAATTAGGATGAAGATCTTGATGTATCGTCATTTAATGGCTCAGATCGAAGGTAGAATTTCAGGTAACAGCAGTGCCGTATTATCCATAAGGCAAACTAGGCACGTGCCTAGGGGAGCGAGTTTACAAAAGGGCGCGTCGTCGTCGAAAATGTGCGTTGGAGGAACGGGAAACTTTGGTGCGGCCCGTGAAATTCCCGATATTCACAATAACTACCCCTCTTACTTTCTTCACCCTGAACACGTATATTAGTATTTATGATGTATAATATCTTATGACCACCAGAGGGGCGCCGATGAGATGCTTGCCTAGGGCGCTGTCGACATTTAATCCGCCCCTGGGTAACAGCGGACTACACTGAAGGTCGCTGTCACCGATATGTCACGTGTAATACTGATAAGCAAAGCTCTAATAATATACAGGGTGATTCAGAATAAGAGTGAGATACAGGATGCCAAAAGTACGAAACAAGTCAAGGTTTACATTAATTTCTTACGAACCCCTGAAGGAAAAAAATTGAAACTTGGTATAGGTATTGGGTGATTCACCATAAATGTCCCCCCCTGTAGCTCAGTTATTTTTGAACCGATTTCAAAATTTGAAATATCATCTCAAATGATCTACAGGGTACTATTTGATTTTTTTAAATGAAACACCCTATTTTTCATTGTATTTATAGATTCTCCCTGAAGAGCTGATTTGATCGATGTATCACACTCGGGGTCAAGCGGAAATGATTACAGAGATATAGGGTGTTCAAAATCGAGATTTTTCAACTTCAGGATTTTTTTGTGACGAAACTGTTCATTATCGGTCAAAACGGCTTTTATGTCCGTACCACAACTTTATTTCCATCTACTGACATTTAATAATTGGAACAGATACAGGGTGATCAGAATTCTGAATCTTGAACCACTCTGTAACTGTTCCAATTAAATGTCAATAGATAGTAAATCAAAAGTTGAGATAGGGAGATGAAAACCGTTCGATGAATAGTTTCGACAGAAAAAAATTCTAAAGTTTGAAAAATCTTGATTTTGAACACTCTATATCTCTGTAAACATTCCCGCTAGACCCCAAGTGTGATCCATTGATGAAATCAGCTCTTCGGGAAGAATCTAAAAATACAATGAAATACAGGGTGTTCCATTTGAAAAAATCAAGTAGTACTCAGTAAATCGTTTGTTCCAAGCACCCTGTATTTTCTGATGCAACGAAAAAAAAATCTGAAAAATCATTTTGGATTATTTTTCAAATTTTTAAATCGGTTCAAAAATAAGTGAGCTAGAGGGGGGGAAATTTATGGTGAATCACCCTGTACTATTCCAGATTAATCAATGTAATCACATGGAGTTTCCATTTTTGATTATCGTTAAGCAGTGTCTTCGCGATCGTATGTCGCCACATTTTCCTTAGATAGACGAATTGTCAAATTGGTATATGACATCAGTTAGGCTCATCGATACCTAACCTAGAAGTAATAAAATTGCACATGCGCAAATTGAGAGGTTCCTGGGATATTTGCGATAAACTAAAGATACGCCTTGACCTAATATTAGGTAAACGCTGATCTTTCTCAAGAGATATAAAAACATTCCTCAACCACCTGAACATATTTTGCAACCTGTTAGTGATACTAGTTGTTGAATATTTGAAAAAAGATGAGCATTACAAATGTTTTTCTTGAACATGTATCAATATTAACCTCAAGACATGTTTAATTTCACGAAAACATATCAGGATCCTCGACATTTAGGCATGTGGAATGTTATTACTTTTAGGTTGTAAATCGGGAGCCCACAACGTGTTTCTGGTGTCTCATTTGTTCACACTCAGCAGTATAAGTACCCCCTAAATTTCACCTTTCACTCCACGGATATGAGCCCAAATAAAATGCCGAAGGAAAGGGGCCGCGTTGGTGTGTTTGTATCAAAACACCCGGGGTCTCGAATCATTACTTACCGTTCGGCGTATGTCGCAAGTGACTGTAATTGAAACAAAAAGTTGGGGCTGTCGGAATTCGGGGTTCTTGTTTTTATACTGCCGAGTGTGAACAAATTAGAAACAAAAAACACGTTGTGGGCTTCCGGTCATTTCATTAAGAAAAAAAAAAAAAAAAAGAAATGATAGAAAATGTGGCGACATACGACCGTAACTACGCCACTGGTCAACAAAATTCTAAACTGAAAACTCCTACGTAATTACCTTGTGCTAGAGATCTTTTTAGCAATGAAGTTGGCAACACTGGTTAACTGAATGAATGACATTTGACAGCGTCTGTCTATTTCACCGATGTCAGTGGAAGTGACAGAGGCAGTGAGAGAGAGGGACGAGAAAAATAAAAATCGACATTCTCAACTGAGTGGCTTTATTTTCCAAATAAAAGAGTGAAAGCTCTGAAACAAAAGTTGAATCTTACATTTCAGAAGTGGGATGGTGGACACTGATTATTAGCAATGAGAAAAAAATTGCAGCAAACAAGGGTGAAAAAAGTAGTGCAAAAATGAGTTCTCACCTGGACCACAACACGGGACAAGATGGCGGAATTGGCGGGACCTGTTATCGAAATTGGCGAAAACTGAGTGACTATTGACTTTACCACTTTAATGATTGAAAAATCATTTTTGTTTTGAAAATGAACGAAAACCAAGATAATGAAAGAGATAGTCTCGAAGGCTTTGGTGAAGGATTATCAGACAGTCTTCCAGACAATATGTACCTACAAAGGATGACGAAACTCGACGCAGAGAGGAAGCATTTCTACAAGTTTTGAGTAGATTAACTCCACAAGCAAACACTGATCCAAGTATTAATTAATTAAGAAGAAGAATTCATTAGAAGTGGCAAGATCACATCTGAAAGGTCCAGCAGTGTATATGGTATTCCAAAGTGGAGGGATTGTTACAAAAATGGGACAGAATGCGGACTAGGAGACAGGGCAAGTCAGAGTCAATAATATCCTACTTATGAAAAATATGATCTGTGTAAAAAGTTAGACCTGAATTTAAATGAAGCAAGAGAAGAAATTCTAGGTGGCTTATACTTGAAAGACATAGCAATGAGTTTAACAGTAAAAAGTCATCATGACTCGGATACTTTACTACAGGACATTCTTGTCATAGAAAGAATGAAATTTGATGCTAATGCTAGACCGGAAATCATACCAATTGTCAGGGAATTTACTACTAGACAAGTGGATAGTC